TGGTCACTGTTTGTACGGTCGCTGCACACTGAGTTGTACGGCCGCACCTCCCAATCCTGGCGAGCAGACATGCAGGCATATGATGACGCACACAGCGATAACTTGTCCCACAATATCACTTTTATTCAAATTTAATACTATTCGTGACTGTAATTTTCACATCCAGGTAAAATGAGACTTAACAGCTGCATAATGTAATGAGACCCGACAATAGATGATTCGTTGGAATTACAATATTGAACAAAATTTAGATATTAGCATTGATTTTGATTTTAGCATTCATGTTGAATTGACATAGCGGTTTATAACTGCCTTATTACTCAGAAACTTCATAAGTAAATGCATTCTCTTTATGTACAACTATCCTTGTGTAAATCGGATTTACTTAACTGGTTAAGTAATGAGTTTATTTGTGTAGAATTTATGCGGGCATTGGCGTGGAAGAACATCACTTATAACAACAATTTACGATGAGCAAATCCTGATCAGTAGAACTTTAAAAGGCTTACAAATTCGCATTTTCGAAGTGCACAAATCGTTACGATAAGGTATACAGGTTTCTTTTAGATTGACCTAGTGAAGGTAACTGTAAACGTGATATGATTGTAACTGCAATTTCATTTCAACCATCCATTTTTGGAATGAAGAAACCAACACATTCAGCATCTTAATTTAATTAAATGTCCCTACTTATTTTGATCATTCTTAAGGATTGAGCTGAAGGTGTTATATGTGCGCGAAGGATTATTTGCAAGCTTGGTTTTAATGACTCGTGTTAAATGAAATAAATTATTATTCAAGTTAATGTTTTTGAATTTAAGAAGTTGGCATTCTCTACTACAATTGTCACGCTTCTCATGTGGTCATTGAAATGAAAATCACATCCAAACAGATTCAGGCGAAAACTTCCTAAACCTTCGTAATGACAAAACTTTATTGGGTGTTTATTCGGCAGCCGATTAGTTTCAACGCTGCACTCGGGAAACTAAAAAGATTGAGAATTTTAAAAAACCGATGCCACAAAAAATTATGCTCCCGAAATCCTGGCTTTAAGTATAATATGCTACTTGAGCAACTCAATATTTGAATATAAGAAAGCTTATTTTACTAGTAAAACCGATTTTCAAACACCCTAGCAACGGTTTAAAATTTGCCATTTGAACCAAAAAAGAGGGTTGTGGATATATTTTTAATTATTTTATATTCATTTATACTTAAATGAACAAGTTTTAGTAGTGCATTTTAAATTTGCTCCAGAATACTCTTTGTTGTTGAATCCGCTTTTGCAACAACATAAAAAAAATATTAGTACAATAATAAAACGAAAAAAATATATTTATCATTTCAAATTTCAGGCCTCATCATTAATTTAGGCTTTCACTTTGCTTCCATTTAAGATTATTGTTGACATTGTGGACGAAGGAATTACTGCTTTTAGTGAATTTCGTATCGAGGCAACATAATTCAATTAGCATTTTCGCAATGGCCCAATTTTCCCTTTAAAGGCGGATCTATAGTGTCTTGCAGCTGCGTTGAAAGCAAATAGTCGAGAGGAAGCATTTGCACTAAGGTTTGCTTGGTTTCCTGCGTACGCCTCATCAGTGAAGACTTCGAGCCATTGATTTGCATGACAGTTCACATTGATTGCCTCAATCAGCCAGTGAGTGCATTTGTTCTGAAGAAGTGTTTGCTTTTCTGAAGTGGCCAAGCAGTTGGATGCAACACATCTTTGAAACACTATTCTGTTTCCCCTCCTCCTCCCTCTTGACTTTTTTCAATTTGATGTTCCTTCCCCTCTGTGAAGTCTGAAGTCAACTAAAGGGCTAATGATAACCATCAAGGCGCCTGCAATTTGATTTAAATTAATAAATAAAATAAGTAACTAAATGCTTGCCTTTGGGCCTTCTCGAGTGGTTTGAGAGTAACCTCTGTGGGTATAATGAGTGGCTCAGGGCTATACAACATTTTTGGCTGAGTTTACATCTTGTTATTGGTGTTTAATGTTGAGCATGCACAGTCCCATTCACTATCAGTAAGACGCTTCAGTGCAATCAGTCGATTTGAGATTGGCCCTGCTATTTTAGTAATGTGACTTTACCACGTTAGCTTTGTGTCAAACGTAAGTCCGAGATAAGTGAGCTCGTTGGTTTTCTAGGGTAGTATCCTTGCACTTTAGAAGCTGATTTATGCTGTGACAGGTCAAAGAAAAAGCTCAAAATGCCTTTTTATGTTGTGTTGATAAGCATTCCNAATGATAACCATCAAGGCGCCTGCAATTTGATTTAAATTAATAAATAAAATAAGTAACTAAATGCTTGCCTTTGGGCCTTCTCGAGTGGTTTGAGAGTAACCTCTGTGGGTATAATGAGTGGCTCAGGGCTATACAACATTTTTGGCTGAGTTTACATCTTGTTATTGGTGTTTAATGTTGAGCATGCACAGTCCCATTCACTATCAGTAAGACGCTTCAGTGCAATCAGTCGATTTGAGATTGGCCCTGCTATTTTAGTAATGTGACTTTACCACGTTAGCTTTGTGTCAAACGTAAGTCCGAGATAAGTGAGCTCGTTGGTTTTCTAGGGTAGTATCCTTGCACTTTAGAAGCTGATTTATGCTGTGACAGGTCAAAGAAAAAGCTCAAAATGCCTTTTTATGTTGTGTTGATAAGCATTCCGTTGCTGTTGCACCAGTTTGCTAAAAGTTTGCGTGCATAATTTAGAACACTTTCCGTCTTCTTTTGAGGGTTGTTCTTAGGGGCGGAATACAATAGAACAGGACCATCTGCATAAAGTAAGCACCTGATGCATGTGACAGTCTGTACCAGTTCGGCTGTCATTGATGAAAATATTGAAAGAGTGCAACTTGTGACAACTCCCTGTGAAGGACCTGTTTGTAAAAGATAGGATTTGGATGCAATAGTTAAATTCTCATGCATGCAGCCGTTTCTCAAATTGGCTGCTGAAATTTGCAACAAAACAATTATACGCAGATCTCCTTTTCTATCACGATTAAAAAATTACAATCGCAAATAGTACTAAATTTGAATAAAGATAATATGGTAATATCAAATACGTTGTCGATAGGTCAGTATTTCCTTACTGGAAAGCAATCGTTCTTGAAAAATCATTTATACAGAAGTTAGGATTTGAGAATTTTGTGAGGCGAGATATGATTAAACTGTGCGTTAACAACATTATCGAACAAGATACAATTCAAGGCGTGTTCGGATTAAATTGCTAGTTGTTCATAATTGCTCAAAATATGTGGAAAATATCTTGGGTTACTTTCTTTAAAAAATAGGCCATTATTGACAGTTGTGAGAAATTGTTTTGGGGAAATTTTATTCTTATTTACTTATTTGAAGACGTCAATGGCCATCTTTATCACAATGATCATGTAAGGCAGACATTGAAATGATCTCGCCAAATCTAATCTTGAACATTTAGGCATTAATGGCTAAACACTTCTTAATATTGATATTCCTACTATTAAAACAAATATTATTCTTAACAATTGGCCTTAAAAATAATACCAGAGATACATTTTCAGAACGCATTTGATAGCTAATTCAAAAAAGGTCGCCATGTTAGAAAGCTATGTCATTGGAATTGATGGCATTATTATTGTTGTTGTTGGAATATGCCGGCGTGGTGGTCTTGGTGTTTGATACTCGCTTAGGGTGGAATTGGTGCAGGGTACAAATCCGATGGAATAAATTGCATGTCAACTCGATTCTTTTAATGCAGCAATATATTTCCGCAACAAAAATGCGCAATACTACAACTTACAACTTCAGTAACGGTCCTACAAAAATTAAATTTCTACTTATCCCTTTAAGTAAAATGTATTCTTCGTCTTTATTAGGTGTTAATACGGCAGCCGATTAATTTCAAGGCCGCACTCCGGAAACTAAAGAGAGACCACGTTTAAACCCTGCTGCCACCAAAAATTATGCTCCCGAAATCCTCCCTTGAAGTATTAATTTATTTCAAATGGCAGGCTTTATGATATTTATCATTAGGCCCCCCTTAATCCTTTGACGTTCAGCTTGCCCCATGGGTAGGGGGTACATATATAGCAGTTAACTAATAGCAGTTCATTACACCCAGGGGTGGGGGGTGCATATATAGCAGTTAATTAATAGCAGTTCATTCTATCATTAGCCCTTAAACTTTGACTTCAGCTTCCCCCAAGAGGGGGTGGGGTACATACAATTCATGGAGGGGGTACATTTATAGCAGTTAATTAATAGCAATTCTGGGGTACATTTATAGTAGTTAATGAATAGCAGTTCATTAGCTGTCTTCTTGCTTCCCAATATTTTTGGCTTTTCGTCGTTGCCTTTAGGGCTGGACACCGAATCAGGTGGGTCGCTCCTGTAGGTTACATAGAGGGTATGTGGGTTGAGTGTATACCATTTCCTCCTGTAGGTTACATAGAGGGGATGTGGGTTGAGTGTATACTCGAATCTGTGAAGGTGTTTTGCCAAGCAATCGTGTCCGGTACCTATCTGTGAAGGTGTTTTGTCAAGCAATCGTGTCCGGTACGAATCTGTGCAGAGGGCATGTGGGTTGAGTGTATACTCCCAGTCTGTGAAAGGGCATATGGGTTGAGTGTATACTCCCAATCTGTGAAGGGGGCATGTGGGTTGAGTGTATACTCCCAATCTGTGAAGGTCCATGTGGGTTGAGTGTATACTCCCAATCTGTGAAGGTGTACATGTGAGTTGAGTGTATACTCCCAATCTGTGAAGGTGTTTATAGGCAATCGTGTTCGGTACGTAGTCTAAACTCATCAACGGTTGTCCAGTACGTAGTCTAAACTCAGCAACGGCTCGTATACTCCCAATCTGTGAAGGTGTTTTGCCAAGCAATCGTTAGGTTACATAGAGGGCATGTGGGTTGAGTGTATACTCCCCTCTGTGAAGGTGTTTTGCCAAGCAATCGTGTCCGGTACGTTTGTGAGGGTTTTTTGCCAAGCAATCGTGTCCGGTACGTAGTCTAAAACAACGGCTTCGATTCTTGGCCGTCGGCTATGTCGGAGAGTGTCACTGTCCACTGTTTCTGCTTTGTTCGAGCTTTGAGTTCGTTGCACCTTGAGGTATGAAATTCTCTCCTGATTAAGGCCTTCATTGTGTGGAAAGACATCGGCCGGTCCGTGCATTGCAAAATCGTTGTCTCCTTCTTAGCAAGTGTGTCAGCAATCTCATTGCCTTTAATGCCACAGTGACCAGGAATCCATTGTAGGACCACTGTTTTGTTTTTCTCTCTCAGCAGCTCATAGAGTTTTCTACATTCCTTTATCTCAGCTGTTTTGGGTGTCTCTCTGTTTCCAATATAGTCTAGTGCTGACTGTGNGTCCGAAAGTATCACCGCTTTGGTGAATTTCGTATCCAGGCAACATAATTGGCATAGTGCTATCCTAATAGCCTCTATTTCTCCTTCAATAGCGGATCTATTATGTCCCGCTGCTGCGCAGATAGAGAAGAGTTCAGAATAGACACCTGCACCAACGTTTGCTTGGCTTTCTATGTATGACCCATCAGTGAAGACTTGGAGCCATTGATCTGCAGGATAGGTGACATTGATTGTCTCAAGGGCCAATGAGCGCGTTTGCTCTGGAGGAGTGTTTGATTTCCTGAAGAAGTCGAGCAGTTGGGTGCAACACACTACATCAATGTCTGCTAATGGGTTCATGGGGAGAGAGAGGCTTTTTGGTTGATCATCGATTTGTAACGCTTTCTTCAGTTCTATGGCTTTCTGTATTAGACCAGATTGCGTTTTCAGATGTCTTGGTCTATTCCCATAGGTGCTGAAGTACTTAACCATGGGAATATGCAGTAGTTTTTCATAGAACTGTGAACATGATAACTTGCTTGATAATAAATAAGCAATTGTGCAATCTATTGTTCCGTTAGAAGAAAATATAAAAGGTCACATTGAATAAATGTTTTCAGTTACTGAAATTAAATACATGGAATTGATCATTTAAAAGTCAACTTAGCATTCAATAAACTTTAAATATACCTTAAGGTATTAAAGTTAACCAGCGAATCCATCAGTGGCTTAAACGAAACTGATAACTTTTGTTACATATTAAGACTTACCCTGGTATGCTATTATTATCCCTTGTTCGCTACCTAGAAGAATGCAATGTTTTAGATATATTGCACTATTCTTCCGTATGATCGAAAATATATGGCTATCACATATTTGCTGCTAAAAATTTGAAAATCAGTTAAGCATCAAGCTTTTTAAATATTTGCTGAATAAAATATAGTCTAGTTAGTTCAATATTCTCGTGCGATTTGACGCCTTCGATAATGCATTCAATATATAAAGTCAAATAAAAATTATATATATATTTTATGTTCAGTTCAGTAAATATTAAATTGACTATATAGAATTTATTAATTATTCGACGATAATGTGTATCCCTTATCAAGTTGACTCACCCTGGCTTGTTGTGGTCACTTGTTTCTATTCTGAAAAGTTGCGAATTTTAACTATGAAATGCCTCTTTTATGCTCGCATATGCTTTTGATTTTTTTAGGTCATTTTAACAATACTAAATGATATCAGAGAATTCACTTATTATAATAAAATTAAAATTTGTAAATTTCAGATTAAATAAAAAAAATAAATTCTTAACAAATTTCAAAATAAGTACGCCTAAATCCAACAATAAAATTTTCATTTCGTTAAATTTAGCATCTGAAAAACGACATTGCTTAATGAAAACAATTTTCAGCTAATATCTTTTTTCATGAAACCTACCACATGTAAACTTATGTAGATTTTAAATGACATTATTTTGTAATTTTAATGACAGTAATATTGCACCAAGCAAAAGAGAACAAACTGGCGCATTCCACTATATCTGGTAACACACCTAAACACAGCACGTATTTTTTTGAAAACTACAAATCTATATGGAATGCAAACAAGTAGCTGCAACAAGCCATGGTGAATTCGATATGTAATGGATAAATGTCATGCATTTTGCAGGACATTTAGGTATTTTGAATTCAATAAAATGATGTTGTGTGTGAAAGGATNATTCCCATAGGTGCTGAAGTACTTAACCATGGGAATATGCAGTAGTTTTTCATAGAACTGTGAACATGATAACTTGCTTGATAATAAATAAGCAATTGTGCAATCTATTGTTCCGTTAGAAGAAAATATAAAAGGTCACATTGAATAAATGTTTTCAGTTACTGAAATTAAATACATGGAATTGATCATTTAAAAGTCAACTTAGCATTCAATAAACTTTAAATATACCTTAAGGTATTAAAGTTAACCAGCGAATCCATCAGTGGCTTAAACGAAACTGATAACTTTTGTTACATATTAAGACTTACCCTGGTATGCTATTATTATCCCTTGTTCGCTACCTAGAAGAATGCAATGTTTTAGATATATTGCACTATTCTTCCGTATGATCGAAAATATATGGCTATCACATATTTGCTGCTAAAAATTTGAAAATCAGTTAAGCATCAAGCTTTTTAAATATTTGCTGAATAAAATATAGTCTAGTTAGTTCAATATTCTCGTGCGATTTGACGCCTTCGATAATGCATTCAATATATAAAGTCAAATAAAAATTATATATATATTTTATGTTCAGTTCAGTAAATATTAAATTGACTATATAGAATTTATTAATTATTCGACGATAATGTGTATCCCTTATCAAGTTGACTCACCCTGGCTTGTTGTGGTCACTTGTTTCTATTCTGAAAAGTTGCGAATTTTAACTATGAAATGCCTCTTTTATGCTCGCATATGCTTTTGATTTTTTTAGGTCATTTTAACAATACTAAATGATATCAGAGAATTCACTTATTATAATAAAATTAAAATTTGTAAATTTCAGATTAAATAAAAAAAATAAATTCTTAACAAATTTCAAAATAAGTACGCCTAAATCCAACAATAAAATTTTCATTTCGTTAAATTTAGCATCTGAAAAACGACATTGCTTAATGAAAACAATTTTCAGCTAATATCTTTTTTCATGAAACCTACCACATGTAAACTTATGTAGATTTTAAATGACATTATTTTGTAATTTTAATGACAGTAATATTGCACCAAGCAAAAGAGAACAAACTGGCGCATTCCACTATATCTGGTAACACACCTAAACACAGCACGTATTTTTTTGAAAACTACAAATCTATATGGAATGCAAACAAGTAGCTGCAACAAGCCATGGTGAATTCGATATGTAATGGATAAATGTCATGCATTTTGCAGGACATTTAGGTATTTTGAATTCAATAAAATGATGTTGTGTGTGAAAGGATAGATTTCAGCTCCTTTATAGCCACTGATCAATTTGCTAACTATATTTTTGACGAATGATATATTTTGCCTTAATCAACTACTTTGAAGTCTTTTAAATGAATTTCTACTACAATTCACCATGATAAATTTAAAATACCCAATTCCAGCAACTTATGTTTAATATGACTGAAGACCTTTGATACAATGTTACATTCCATCTTTTTTAAGTAAACAAAAAGTGNTTTCAGTTCTACGTGCAAGTGTTTATCGATTCACAGAAGATTGATTTAGCTTCATTTAGTTACTGTTGGCCAGCGTATACTCATGCTTCAAAAAGTCTAAAATTCGGCAGTTGACTTCAAATTATCATGACCAACCTGAAACGAAACTATAAGAGGGATTACAACTTCTGCAGATCATTCAGTGGAATGCTGGAGGGATGNAAATTTCAAAATAAGTACGCCTAAATCCAACAATAAAATTTTCATTTCGTTAAATTTAGCATCTGAAAAACGACATTGCTTAATGAAAACAATTTTCAGCTAATATCTTTTTTCATGAAACCTACCACATGTAAACTTATGTAGATTTTAAATGACATTATTTTGTAATTTTAATGACAGTAATATTGCACCAAGCAAAAGAGAACAAACTGGCGCATTCCACTATATCTGGTAACACACCTAAACACAGCACGTATTTTTTTGAAAACTACAAATCTATATGGAATGCAAACAAGTAGCTGCAACAAGCCATGGTGAATTCGATATGTAATGGATAAATGTCATGCATTTTGCAGGACATTTAGGTATTTTGAATTCAATAAAATGATGTTGTGTGTGAAAGGATAGATTTCAGCTCCTTTATAGCCACTGATCAATTTGCTAACTATATTTTTGACGAATGATATATTTTGCCTTAATCAACTACTTTGAAGTCTTTTAAATGAATTTCTACTACAATTCACCATGATAAATTTAAAATACCCAATTCCAGCAACTTATGTTTAATATGACTGAAGACCTTTGATACAATGTTACATTCCATCTTTTTTAAGTAAACAAAAAGTGAACCATTGTATATGTATATTTTCAAGCGAGTTATTATATTTTCAGTTCTACGTGCAAGTGTTTATCGATTCACAGAAGATTGATTTAGCTTCATTTAGTTACTGTTGGCCAGCGTATACTCATGCTTCAAAAAGTCTAAAATTCGGCAGTTGACTTCAAATTATCATGACCAACCTGAAACGAAACTATAAGAGGGATTACAACTTCTGCAGATCATTCAGTGGAATGCTGGAGGGATGTCACAAGACAAGGAGATCGAAATCCAGAAAATTCTGTATACCTAAGATATAGACACATTTACAATCATGGGAGCCAACCTTACCGATGTCAAACTCAAATACCACCAATTCCCAGGTTACACCATGCATCTTCTACATATGGACCGGCAGGTTGCAAGTGAAATTTAGACTGGAGCAAAAGAAGCCCTCACATTGCATTGCAATCTTATTTCCAATATGGGCAAAATAATCAGATTAGATATTTTCAAATTTACAAAAAACCCCTTCAAGTTATAGGCGGACTATAATCCCCCTTTGAAAAGACCCTGCATACATTCTATGTAACCTGCAGCAGGAAATGGAGAAGACCCACCTGATTCGGTTTCCAGACCTAAAGCAATGATGGAAACCCAGAAACACTAGGAAGCTAGAAATTAAATAAAGACCTACTGTTAACCGTCCTAAAGCCTAAAGATATGTTCCTCCCTGCTTGTGAAAGCCGAAGTCAACTAATGGGCTAATGGTAAATATCATAAAGCCTTTCAGTTGAAATATAATAATAATAATACATCAAAGCTGAAAATGAATGAAAGATTTCAATTTTCATATACAAATTTTAAAAGACAAAATTTAAGAAGACAATTTTGGAATAAATAAAATAATAATAATAATTTGCACTCTGTGAAAATTAATTATCGATTTCATAACGGATTCAAAATCATTACGTCATTGCCGATTTTATTTTTTTTCAAACCTGTTGATCGCTAGCCAATTTGAGGTTTGCAGATGCATCCAAATAGATTCAGCGAAATATGTATTACAATATACGTCTTGTAATTATATTTCTATCACTTATTGGGAAAGAGTTTTTTCAATGGTCTAATTTAAAGCACATTTAAATTAGTAAGTAATTCGCTAAATAATCGAAGCCCACTAATTAGGCATTCAAAAACGAATTTGAAATCTCGATGAAATTAGCAAA